AACCCCTCCTTATGTGAACAATTATATAATTAAGTGTACCCCCACATTTATTTTTTTTAAAAAACACAAACCTTGCATGTATACAGCTGATATTTCAGGGAAACAGCTAGGCAAAAACTCTTCTGGTATTAGTTTTCCAAATACCGTGGATTTTTGTTTGTTTATTTGTTTTTGGTGTGGGGAGCATTCAGACTTGCAACCTCCCCCTGTAGCTTGAAATGGGTACCGGTATCATCACATCCCCCCCCCTCCCCCTCGGGTACTAGTTTTTAACCGTGCATCTTCGGCGGGAAGCCTCGGGTTCGCCACGGGAGCTCTACGCTTCCCAGATGTGGCGGTGAGATCGCGCCTGGAAAATCCGCCTATCTTCCGTCTCTCTAGCGTGCCTGATGCTGTGTGACCGCAGCCATGAATCAGAAGCACAAACGTGTATCCCATTGTACTGACCTGATAACACATCTTTCATAGTTAATCACATTCTGTGGTTATGCAGACAACTTGGCAGCCATGTGCTGAGCATCATTATAGACAGTTTCTAATCACTAAGCCTGCTGTACAGCAATACAGCATTACATGATTTTAATGCACAGTTTTGCTTAGTGGTGTGTGTTGATTGAGAAAATGTACTAACCTAGGTTTCCTCTTCTGGCTTGCTGAGACACAGCACCCTGTATTAGGCCATTGGAAGCATTAAGTGCAGTGGAGCCTATGCCCAAAGAATTGTGTTTACGATGGCAGCCATCATCCCTTTTCCAATCTTCCTGTGTGGAAAAGATCTTGCCACTGTGGTGCATGCCTTGGTCACATCTAGATTAGATTACTGCAATGCCCTCTGCATGGCTCTGCCCTTGAAGACTGTCTGGAAGCTGCATTAGGTACAGAATGTTGTGGCCAGAGTATTTACTAGAGTGCGTCATAGGGACGATATCACTCCAGTCTTGTTCCAGTTTGCTTCTGGGCACTACTCAAGGTGCTGGTATTGACCTTTAAAGCTTTGTATGACCTAAGACCAATCTATCTCAAGGACCACTGTCTCCCATATGTACATACCCATTTACTCTGGTCATCCTTGGAGGCCTTGTTTCATTTCCCAGCACCATCAGAGGCTAGATGGGGGGGGGGTTTACCTAAAAAAGGACTTTCTTGGTTGTGGCACCAAAACTTTGGAACTCCTTCCCCAGTGGGCAAAGACTCTTTTGCTTCATTTAGCATACCCCTAATAGTTGTTATTGGCCCTCCTCCCTGGTTCTGGTATTTGCTTATGTGTTTTCATTGTATTATTTTATAAATTTAAATATTTTAATTTTTCTAATGTTTTTATATGCACTGACTTGGGGACCCTGATAAGGGTGGAAAGGGGGCATAAAAATGTTTTAAATAAATAAACCATTGAAATGTAGGAAGGATGTTGACAAGCTTGAGTGTGTCCAGAAGAGGGCAACCAGGATGGTGAGCGGATTGAAATCCAACTTTTATGAGGACAGGCTGAAAGAGTTGGGTATGTTTAGCCTGGGAAAGGGAAGGCTTAGAGGGAGCATGATTGCAGTCTTCAAATATCTGAAGGGCTGTAAGAAAATATATTTAAAATGTTTTATAGGTGGCACTGGTCACCGGATAGAATGGCCAAATGTTAAAAGGAGGTATCAAGAAACTGTTGGAGGTGCAAAAATAACATAGGTACATTCTTCCACATGTGGTGGCGGTGCGAGAAGATTTATAAATTTTGGAAAGATATTAAACAGCTAATATTCGAGATTATGGATATAGATTTACATCTCTTACCAGAAATGTATTTGCTAAATATAATACCAGAAGGGTTTAGGCGTGATGATACATGTATTTTTTCATATATCCTTACTGCAGCCAGAATTCTTGTTGCTAAATGTTGGAAGGCAGAGAAATTACCCACTAGAGAAGAGTTGGTTACTAAAATATCTGAACTTGCAGAAATGGTTAAATTAAATACGATACTTTCAGGAAAAGATGGAAAAGCTTTTCAAAAAAGATGGTATAGAGTTAACAAATAGTTTGGAAAGAATGTTTAACGTAAACTCCAAAAAATTAGTTATGTACTGTATTCTTGTTTTTGCTTTTATAACATAAAAACCTACAAATAAATTCAATTAAAAAAAAATTGAAGGGCTGTCATGTAGAAGATGGAGCAGATCTATTCTCTCTTGCTCCGGATTGCAAGACTAGATCTAATGGGTGGAAATTACAAGGGAGTCGATACCAGCTAAATATCAGGAGAAACTTCCTAACTGTAAGAGTGGTTGAGCAGTGGAACAGACTGCCTCGGGAGGTGGTGGATGTTCCTTCACTGGACGTTTTCAAGCGGAGGCTGGATGACCATCTTTCAGGTATGTTGTAGGGCTATCTTTAGGCTATGCTCCTGCAGGGTGGACTAGATGTCCTGCACGGTCCCTTCCAACATTCTATGATTCTATGTATCTGAAAAGGCCCTTTGTGTTTAGAGAGAACAACTTCTATGGAATGTGGGGAGAGGAAGGGAAGGTGATTGTAAACACTTTGAGACTCCTTAGGGCAGGGCTGGATTAAGGTCAACTGATGCCCCAAACACAGCCCAACAATGGTGCCCCTTGGCCCTCCCATTCAGGCCCATAGCCACAAGGGGGCCCCCAAGGGCGATGCCCTCTCCCGAATGTGCCCTGCCTCCTCAATCATGCCTTTTTTGTTTTCCTCCCCCCCTCCTTTGTTTCCCAGTGAGGAATGAGCCAAGCTGGAGCCTTGTGAGCAGTGTTCCCTCTAAGTTGAGTTAGCGTGAGCTAGCTCACAGTTTTTTAGCCTCTGGCTCACACATTTTTGTCTTCACTCAGGAAGCATGGCTCCAGAGCAAACTAATTTATGCAGTAGCCAAATTGTTCACTCACAACTTTAATGCCAGTAGCGCAAAAAGCAGAATTTTTGCTCACAAGACTCTACTGCTTAGAGGGAGCATTGCTCATGAGCACAAGGGAGAAGCAGGGGAGGCGGGCTGGAGGTGCAGCCACCGCAGAGGGACAAAGCCTGGCCAGGGTCACATGTGCTGCGGCCAGAGTGAGAGCGTGAGCAACCCTGGAGAGGCTGCTGCCGTGATTAAGCCCTTCTTCACCGAGGTGAGTGGGGACATTGGGCCCGAGCCAGCTTCCTCTGGAGTCAGACCCAGTGGAGGGCAAGGTGCCTGCTGTGGAGCAGATGCCACACAGGAGATGCCTCCTGGATATGCTTGGCACCTCTGCACATGTGGGGATAGGACGGGACCCCCCCCCTTCTCCTCCTCCGTCTCTCTACTACCAAATAAAGTAGGTGGCCACTGGGAGACAGGGATAATTTGGTTTTAAACAAATTGGATTATCAGAACAAAGTTTGAGTTCAGTGGCACCTTTAGGACCAACATAGTTTTATTCAAGGTATAAGCTTTCGTGTGTAAGCACACTTCTTCAGTGTGCTTCAGCGAAACAGAATTTCCTCAACCATTACATATAGAAAGGGGTGAGTTAGTTGCCAGGAAGGGCCAATTAGAGACAGAAACAAAAGATGGAAATTACCAGTCCATACGTACATGTAGAGGGCGAGCAGTAAATTATCTCACAGCATAATGAAGATGTTTAACAGATTCAAGGATCAAAGAGGGATAATAAGGTTATTATATAACCCTGGAAATCTTGTTGGTCTTTAAGGTACTACTGGACTTGAATCTTGCTCTTCCTACCCAGCAGGGACTCCTGCTTCTATGGAGAATTCAGAGAGAATGCCATCCATACCCAGGTAGACAGTCTGTGTTGGAAGGAAGGGAGTGCTGCTCTTCTATGGGAGTGTTACTTTCTGAGCACCGAGGCAAAGGAGACAGATGGAAACGCTTCACAGCCTGTCATCATGCAGCTACAGGCAGCAGTCATAAAAAAGAAAAAAAAGAACAAAGTTTGAGTTCAGTGGCACCTTTAGGACCAACATAGTTTTATTCAAGGTATAAGCTTTCCTGTGTAAGCACACTACTTCAGTGTGCTTCAGCGAAACAGAATTTCCTCAACCATTACATATAGAAAGGGGGGAGTTAGTTGCCAGGAAGGGCCAATTAGAGACAGAAATGGAAATTACCGGTCCATAATATAGGTATTATATAGGTATTTGTTCTGCTGCTTCAGACCAACATGGCTACCCACCTGAATCTGTCATTTAACCTTCTTTGTAGAATGATCCCTTGTAGAGACTTTGCACTACATCATAGCTGATTCATAATAAATAATGATATGTTCACCATAACTGTACTCATCCCCCCCCCAATAAAATTTTCTGGCTGTGGGCTTGCTTCCATTGCTTAGCTGACAGGACATTAAGGATCAAAAAGTGCTGAAGGTGAAATTTCAGTTATCTTCCAGGCCATCTACCACAACTATAATAAATATAAACTTTAAAAATTAACACTAAATAGCAGTAAGCAGTATAGGCAAAAAAAACCCCTCTGTGGCACCCCCCTTCCTTTGGTGCCCTAAGCACGTGCTTCTTTTGCTGAATGGCAGAGCTGCCTTAGGTTAGGGGATTGTAGGGTATAAAAACCAACTCCTCTTCCTCTGCATGCGTGTACAAGCAAGAGTCCTGTGACATCTTAAACACCAACAGTTTTATTGGGCATCATGATGCATGTGTACATCAAAAGATAGCTCAAGGTGCAAACTACCTATTTGGGGGGAAAGGGCTGCTGTTGAGGCGACGACACCACAGTTCCTGTCGTGCGTTTTGATCTGATCACCCTGCCGGTCACCCTTTTGAGACTACAATCCTCGAGCAGTAAATACGCACCCCTTAGGCGACGTAGGTCAGAAAAAGGCGTTCACGCCGTTTTCTCAAGTGGCGTGTAGAAACGGCGTGAGCGCCTTTTTCAGAAAACACCGCAAAGGCGAATCCAACTCCCCTCCGGCCAACAGGTCTCTCCTTCCTCCTTTCATTCGATCCCCCCCCCCACCGTTGCAGCGGCTCCCCGCCTTCTGACACTCCCTCCCTGCCGCACTTCTTCCTGGACTTTGCGCCTGAGAGCGGCTACCTTGCCAGCCGTCCATCCTGCCAAAGCAAAGAGAGGTGAGTTGACGGCGCTCCCGAGCGCCCGGCAGACAGGGATGAGCCACGAGGGTGGCCGAGGGGGCGGCTCGGGCAAGCGGGAAGGTCTGACGAGGGCTTGGCCACCCGGATCGGTGGCGGGGAAGGGCAAGGAGACACCGACTGTAAGTCTGATGAGGGCTGTGAGGCTCTTCGATGCAAGCCGGTGTCTCCTTTGGAGGGGGTGGAGGGACTCTCCCATGGCTCTCATGCACACGGAGGGAGTTAAAATCCGGGACTTCCGCACCAGGCTCCATGTGACATTGCACGCGGTCGGGAATAGGGAAGCCCCAGTAGTGTGCTGTAAATTAATCCGTGTGGAGCTTGTGCCTTTTTCTTTTCTTTTTTTAAAAGATCTTTTTTGAGCCCCTTTCTACGGCAATCCTTTGCTATTAGTGGACCGGGGAAGCGTTTGCCCTAGGTAATTTCGCATTGCATTATGGCTTCCCATTATGATCTCCCTAGCATTAAAAAAGGTTTCTGGGGACTCAACGTTGCCCAATAAATCTCCCAGCCGCCTGCATTGCAAGGCACGGCTGCTTAAGAGGTACGCCTGGCTGACATGAATGAGACTTTCATCCAAACAATCGGGATTCCAAACGGGCTGCGGTGCTTGCTGGCAGCAGGTCGCTCTGCCGCGTCTCTCCGTGCGCCCCTCTTAATTGTTTCCATGCCAGCAGTTCACACGTCTCCGCCCTGTTCTCCTCCTCTGCAAGTACCCGAGACGGGCTCTCTTATTGTGCTGCTGACACCCGGCTTGTGTGCGATGAAAAATGTGCGGCATGTGGGAGTTCCAGAGACCAAAAGCTCTTTGTGAATCCTGTGGAGCAGCCTGGAAGGACACTGTGGAGCTCCTGGAAGCAAGAGGAAAAGAATACCATCAAGTCAAGTGGGGCTTGTTTGGCCTATCAAACCCATGTGCCTCGAAGCACCATGACCAAATTAGGCTTGGTGTAGTTCAGGAAGGAAGTTGCTCATGCGCCCTTCCTACTCATTTGCACAGCAATGCACTACAGGCAGTTATGCACCTGTAATAGAAAAAACCAGATTTCCCTTCTCACCTATGATAGGAACCTGAACGTGCATTCAGTTTCTGCCTGTCTGACAAATTCACAGTTGGGGGGGGGGGCAATCATCCCTTATCAGAGTCTACTCTACACATACATTTGCCAAGTTGTATTAGAAAGCCTATTTCACACTGGATTAATTTTACAGTTGAAGTATACTGCGGTAATTTTTTCTTTTAATTGTTCCCTCCTGTGACAAGGAATATATTTATGTTTATGGTATGACTCTTGTAACAGTAGAGACAGGACTTTTTCTGGCATAGAATTTGGCACTCTGAAAATCCCTCTTGTTATTTGAAGAAATGGTTCTCTCTGCATTTTTCACTCCACTGGAACTGTGTCCCATGCAAAATTCTGGATTTCAAGCTGATCATGCGGATGTTCCTACCTACGTAATATTTTGTGGCTTGATCCTTAAAGTAGGTCTTAAAGGTAAAGGTTCCCTTGCTCAAAAGCCCATCAAATCCGACTCTAGGGTTGCAGTGCTCATCTCCATTTCAAAGCTGAAGAGCCAGCGCTGTCCGAAGACGTTTCCGTGGTCATGTCGATCCCGGGGCGCGCCCAGCCTGGGCTGCCCCTCCGCTGGTAGGGCACTTCACTTTCTTGCTCTTGCCGGCGCCGCTTCCTCCTCCTGCTGCTGCCCAGAAGCTGCAGCCCCTCGCTTGCCCCCGGCCTGGATCTGGCTTCACACCGGGCGCAGTGCCTCTGGGCAGAGTGTGACAGAGAGGTAGTTGGATTCCACAGGTTAATATGATTGAAAGTCTGATGTTGCCTTGCCTTTTGGCTTAGGCATATTTTGAAGAGTGCCTTGCCTTTTGCCTTAGGCACTGAAACACTGCTGTTAGTGCTGTGTTACTATTCTGTAACCTATTGTCTGTTTAGGGTAAAATTGTGTTCTGTCCTTTTTAATGTACTGTTCCAAGTAGTTAACCCAGCACGTGACTTCTTAAAGGGTACCCCTAAATGTGCAGCATATAAATGAGACAAATAAGTATTTAAAAACAAGAGTAACATATGGTACACTAATCAGAGAGCCACAGGATCTGGTCATACGCACTAAATAATCCACTTTCAATCCACTTTCAAATTGGATTTTGCCAGTTCACACAGTAAAATCCAGTTGGAAAGTGCACTGAAAGTGGATTATTTAGTGTGTGTGTGACCGCAGCCACAATTAGTGACAACTTCTTATTGAGTATACATTAAGCAGCTTCCTGTTTGTTAGGTTAGGCAGAGTTCTGACAGTGATCCTTCTCTGTTATACTTGACCTGTAATGCTGGTTCTCATATTTCACTTAAACCCCCCCAAAGTGGACTAAAAGAGGTCCTGCCCCCCCCC